TGGGCTCTCCTCTGCTCTGCAGACCCCAAGGAGCTGCTGGAAAGGGCAGGGATGGGGTGGCCCTGCACCTGGCTCATCCTTTGGTGATTCATTCTTTATCCTGTGGTGCTGGATCGAGGTGTGGAGAACTGCTGGCTGTGGGGGCCAGGCTGAGCCACCCACCTCCAGCTGCCCCGGGCTCACAGGGAGTGCCTTGCCTGGTTTCGGAGCACGAGGAGGAGAAAAGGGTTTGAAGGCTTTTGTTCTTTCCTTTAACAGTGGGAGAAGGAAAATCAAGGCCTGACAGCCTGAAATGTGGGTTTGGTGAGCTCAGGCTTTTCAGGGAAGTTTAAAGGATGTGCTGGTTTTATATTTTGCCTTCACCTGCTCCTGCCACCCACCGGGTGTCATCCACCTCCCCCCAGGAGCTGCTCAGCCTCCCTGCACTGCAGACGTGATGACAGCCAGGAGGAATGAAATTAGGAATCTAAAAGAAGGGTGTGGCAGCCTTGTAACCGGCTGGGAAGAGGGAGAGGAAGAGCAGGAACTAACCCCTGACTTCATCCCCTAACGGGGCTCAGGCTTCACCCAAACTTCCATCTGCTCCCTCAGCTGCACCTGGACCAGCAGCACAACAACCTCCAGGCTGTTGTTTTTTTGCCAAAGCCACGGGCATCAAAAGCCTCCAGCTTAATTCTGATGAGGGAAAAAGGGAAAGAAGCTGCTTTCCTGCTCTCCCACCCAAGACTCTGGAAAACTTGAGGCTGACAGCAGCAAGGAAAGTCCCTGCAAGGCTGGAATGGAGTGGCAGAGGAAAATGTTTTGTAATTAGATAAGGGGCCAGTGAGGTCATTTTATTTGGAACAGGGTGTGAGATTGTGGTCACCTTTGTTGAACAAGGGGAAAAATGAGGATAAAATAATACCATGAGGCTATTTTGTTCTTGGAGCAGGTAAAGCCAGAGGACAGCTTGCTGTCTCCCCTGCCCCATCCCTGCCCTCCCCCCAGGCTGGCTGGGGAGCGTGGGCTGGTTTATACATCATTTATTACATTGTCTGCTGGAACTGTCCCTCCTGCACAGCATTGCTGTTAAAAATTGTTTCACAGAGCAAGCTCTGCATCCAGGAGTGGGTTGGGTCTGAGTGTTGCCATGCTGAGCTGCCTGCAGGCTTTTTTTTTCTGTAACTTTGTAAAATGCAGATTTCTGTTTCCTTAAGGGATGGTTCAGGGAGAAGCCAAGGTCTGATGAATGTTGGGGTTTTGGTTTTTTTCCCTAAGAAGCAATTAAAAAAAAAATAAAATCCAGTGTTGGATTTACAAAGTTCAGTGTTTAGAACTGAGGATGAAGGAGTGCACCATGTGCTTGACTTCCCTGCCTGGGAGCATTTGGAGTGTCTGGACTGAGTTTCCAGATAGGCCTGCAAAGAAGTTGTAATAACATTTCCATTGTCCATAAGCTTCCAGTTTTCATCAAGCTCTGGGCTCTCCTGGCATGGGCAGCACTGCGAGAGCTGCCTGTGGCGGAGCCTTGTGGTTGGGCTCTTGCTCCATCCTGGCTGTTTCTGCAGCAGCTTTTCCCTTTGCTGGGCCCTGTTCCCTGTGGAGAAATCCTGGGATGCTGCAGCAGAGCTCAGTTCCCTGTGCTGGACCCAGGTCCTGCAGTGTCTGCCCCGTGCCAGCCCCTGGAGCTGTTGGGAAGGCCATGGAAGAGCTCCCAGGGCTGGAGCCCCTCTGCTCAGTGTCCCTGCCATGGGAGAGGGTGGAATGAGCTGATCTTTAATGTCTCTTCCAACCCAAACCATTCTAGGATTTCACAGCTGCACAAAACTGTGCTGGCAGATCCGACCTGAGGCTCAACTCCCACTTCTTGGAAATGGTGCTGAAGCCTCACCTGGGGCTGTTTCCCCTTCCCACCTGCCTTTGGCTGGTCCAGGCAGTGCTGGTGTAGGGACAGGTGAGGCCATTATCAGCTGCTCTCCTGCCACAAACCACAGTGGGCAGAGGACAGAAGCTGCTGCTGCTGCTGCTGTCCTGCTGAAGCAGAAGTGGCCTGAGCATTGTCTGCAGGAGCTGAGCTCAGGCCCAGACTTGGCTTTGCCCTGGCCATGACCTGACTGTGCTGGGACTGCCCAGCTCCCTGTGCAGGAGCCCCAGCTGGTGCTGCTGCCACTCCTGAGTGTCCAGCAGCCAGGAATCACAGCACCATCAGTCCTCCCCATCCCATATGTCACAATAAATGGAGTGGGAGGGGTTGTTTCTCCTCCACTGCCTGTTCACAGCAGCCTGTGAACCACCAGGGCCCTTTCCCATCCCTGTCACTCTGACACTGCTTCATTTTAGTGACTCCATCCTTCAAAAGACACCTTCCTGCATCCTGAAATGAGCTTGTATGCAGAAGGAATCCACCCCCTGCACAGGAGCAGCCCCGAGCCAAGCTCACTCGAGGTTTATTTAGAGGTTTACATGTACATAGAGGGATGTGTGTGTGTGTGTGTTGTGCAGGACTCCACCCCCAGCTCCCATGGAGATGCAGTTATTTTATGTAAGAGTATTTTTTTAGAATGGGTATTGCTTATTCCACCACTGTGTGACTGCACTGTAACAGGTCTGCTCCCTGTGATGCTTTGAAGGCTGGAAATTCTTGTGTACTTTGCCCAGCACGGTGAAAAACAAACCACACAGAAGTAACAGTCATAAATATACAACTTTAAAAAAATTACTGTTAAAGATTTATTGCAATAATACAATAAAATTTAGAAGAAAAAAACAAACAAAAAAAAAAGAAAAAAAAAAAGAAAAAAAACCCCAAACCATTTGTGTTTAGTTACATCTTAAGTCCAGAAGTTGTGAGGGGGGGCTGTGAGTTTCCCCAGGTGAAAAAGCCACCCTGGGTGTCCCACTTGAGACCCTGCACAGGCACCTGATTTTCGGCACAGGGCTGGGCCCCCGAAATCAGGCTCTTCCTTGGCAGCCCAGATTGGCCACCCCAGGTCACTGGCCACCAGCAGAAGTCCCAGCCTGAACTGAAATTCCCGTGTTCATGCTACACAAAAAGTTTTGTAAACTCTCAGCCGGCTGCCTTCAAATATTTATCATTATGGATATTCCTGCCCTCCCTCCCTCACCCCCCCAAATAACCTGGGAAACGAATCCTGGTGATTGCACTCAAGGTTTGGACACACACAATTCTTCCTCAGCTACACATGTGCAAAACACATTTAAAAAAACCACCACAACCTTGTGTTCTGTTACAAAAAAAGGTTCCATGAAAAGCCCCACCCCAACACATTTGAACACCCTCACGGTGCCCTTGTGCACTCTCAGAGTATGACACGGTTGCAAATAAATTATTTTGGAAAACATGGATAGGAAGAATATGGCTTAGAAAAGTTATTGTGTTGGATTTTCTTTCCCAAAGTTCAGTGACAGTGCACGAAGCTGAGTCATGGCCTGACCTTCCGGGGCTCAAAGCACAAAGGCAGCAATGAAAAAGGGACTGAAATGCCTATTAAAAAACAACAAAAAAAGGTATTTAGATGGTGAGGTCCAGTGCAAAATCCACAGGGAAGCAGAAGGGGCTGGGCTGAGAGCCCAGTTTCCAATACTGGCGTGTGCTGGTTGCTCAGAGCTGTGAGTGATAAAGTGCTGTGAGCCAACAGAGCCCAGAGCTCAGCCTGGCAGCAGGGCTGGGGGCACTGGCCCCATCAGCTGCAGCAGCCCAGGGGCCTGGGCTGTTCTCCTCAAACAAACCCAACTCTTGGAGCAGAGGAGCGAGGCTGGCGTTGTCTGACAACGTGCGCGGTGCTCGCGCGGAGTTAAGGGTCTTTGGTTTAAAAAAAAATATAAGACAAAAAGAAAAAATAGAAGAAACTACTGACAACAGATGCCCAGCTCAGGGCTAAACAGAAGCAGCTGCCGTGGAGGGGTGGGTGGCACACGGGTGTCACTGCCACCCCTGGCTTCCCACCCCTCCTGGGTGGGGACAGGGGCAGCACTGGAGAGGGAGAGAGAAATCCACCACAAACACCCTGTGAGGTGGCTGGGAAAGCCAGCCCTGGAGCTGGGATGTGGCCTCTGTCACCACGTCCTCGTTAGGAGCTGTGTCCCCACGAGCTGCGGGGCAATGGCAGAAATCCTCCCTCGTGGAGGGAGGGCAGAGGCTCTTCCTTGGCTGGCCCTCTGGAGGAACTGTCCCAGCTCTAAATGTAAACGTTGGAAGCTCTGCTGAGCAAACCATCCGTGGGTGTCCCATCCTGCAAGGCAGAGGAAGAGGAGGAGCCCTTGCTCACCGAGTCACCATTCAGCACCCACCTCCTGGGGTTCCACGAGCCAGCTGTGCCAGGGGAACCAAACCAACTTCTTGGCAGTCAGTAAACAACAAACCCCACCATGAAAACACAATAAAATAGGGTTAAAAACACATGTAGTGTGGAGAGCGTGTGACTTCACCAAACTGTCTTGAAATGGGGTTTTTCTAAAGCTAAGAAGTGGCAACATGGTGTGGTAACCGATGGATATTATTGCAACAATGCAATTCTGTATCAGCATCCAATGTGGGTCTAGCAAGAGAATGTCCAGTGTTTCTTTGGTGTATGGTATTAAGAGTACAGAGCCTGTGTGCCGCAGCACAACACAAAACTTCTACACCTACTAGTGGAAACAGCATGAAACAAGCCAGTTTTCTATGGCAAAACTGGGTAAAGATTCACAACCAAATCTAAACCAAGAGCAATTTGCTGTGTGAATTCCCTGTCCATGCTGATCGTTTGTATTAAAAATATGGCAACAGAGATTAGAAAACATGTTAAAAATGCATAATTTTCATGTCCTGAATGAAAAAAATCTAGAAATATGCATTTTTGCATTATGCAAGACAGATTTAAAACACACACACAAAGGAAAACCCTATAAGGAGTTAAGAAAGTGGGAACTGCATTTGCACCACTGTCCAGACCGCACCCTGAGCAGCCTTCCCTGCGCTCATCCTGATCCAAACACTCCAAAACCTGTTTCTCCTTCAGAAAGTAGAGCTGGAGGTTGCTGGGTCCTTTGCCAATCCTCGATGCACAGAACCAAGACACGAAGTGCCCTCGCAGGATCCGAGTGCCCTCGCAGGATCCGTCGGGAGCACGGAGCTAATTTACAAAACGGGGCCGTCACGGTCATCTTGGGGAAATAAAAAGGTTTTCTCCGGTTTACAAAACGCAAGTCTGACCTTTCCTTTGTTCCAGGCACTACTTAACTGAATAGGTAAAGGTTGACTACAGCCCAGTCGGGGAGGGGTTCCTGGCACAGCCCCCTGTGCCCGCTAGCGGTGCCCGGTGTAGGCCTTGAGCCACGAGGTGACCGAGGCGGCGGCGGACGAGATCATCCCGCCCGCGCTGCTGCTGGCGATGGGCTGGGACACCTGGCTGCTCTGGCTCTGCAGCATCTCCACCTGCTGCGAGGGGATGTCACAGAACCTGGGGCTGGGCAGGTTCTCCCAGTCCGTGCCCAGGTCCGTCTCCTCGTCGCTCACGTGCTCGTCGCCGCTCTCGTCCGTCTCGCCCGCCGCGCTGGGCTCCACGAACTCCATGGAGTCCTCCAGGTCGGCGCTGATTTCGAAGGGGCCGGACCTGGGGGTGAGGACACGGTGCCATCAGTGTCCTCCCACCCCACAGCACCCTGCTCTGCCAGGGCACAGCAGAGATTAATGCCCTGTCTCTGTCAGCTGGCGCAGGAGCTGCAGAGGGAACTTGGTGCCACCCCCTTGGATGTGACACAAACACTTGGCCCAGGAAGGGACAGGGTTCCAGACCACGGAGCAGGAACGGTGGGAGAGCAGTTCTGCTCTGGCAGGGACAGAGAAACACAGCAGAGAAAGCTGCTGGTGATAACTCAGGGCATCATTGGTGGGAATCCTGGCTTGATGTGGAGCAGCTTTAATTTCCAACACCAGCCCTGGCCAGGCCTCAAGCTCAGCTCTGTCAGGCAACTCCCAGGTCTGGCACAAGCAGAGACACTTCAGAGTCTCACCAGTGGAGACTTCCCACTCTGCCCCGAGCAACACCTCAAGCTCTTTCTCACTCTGAGGTTGGCCAGACACTGGCACAGGCTGCCCAGAGAGGCTGAGGGGTCTCCCCTGGAGACACTCCAAACCCCACCACAGAGTCACAGAGTGGCTCAGGCTGGAAGTCACCATAGGGGTCTCCCCTGGAGACACTCCAAACCCCACCAAGTCACAGAGTGGCTCAGGCTGGAAGTGACCACAGTGGCTCATCTGGTGCAATCTCCCTGCTGCAGCAGGGTCATCCCAGGGCACAAGATTGGGTCCAGATGGCTCTGGAATGTCCCCAGTGAGGGAGCTCCACACCCTCTCTGTTGTCCAGGGCTCAGTCACTGCACAGGGAAGTTCTTCCTCAGGTTCAGGTGGGACTTGTGGGCATCAGTTCCTGCTCGTTCCCCATGTGCCATGGCTGGCCCCTGGAGCAGAGCCTGCTCTGTCTCTGAGCCCTCAGACAGGGCTGAGGCCCCTCTCAGGTGGACAGCCCCAGCTCCCTCAGCCTCTCCTGGGCAGGGAGATGCTCCAGTGGTGGGCAGAGCTCTGAGCAGGGCCAGGGGCTGCATCTCCAGGGTCCTGCAGGATCCCACCTGCACTGTGACTCAAGAGTTCCCTGCTGCCACTGCCTGGTGGGAGAGGCGATTGCATCCTGCCCCATCCCTCTGCTTTGGGCTGCCTGTGTTCCACGGAAAAAGGCAGATTCCCCACAGCAAGGAGAGTCCCTGACAGAGTTCGCTCCAAGCCACAAAACTGCCCCCTGAACACGAGCAGGAATTTGATGGAATCATGCAATAATTTAGGTTGGAAAAGACCCCCAAGATCACTGAGTCCCACCATTAAACACAGTAACCATTTAACACAGGCAAGAGTTTATCCAGCCTTACTGGGAGAAGGAGCCTTAAGCAGTGATTTGTCATGGGAAATATTAATCCAGATAATTAAAGCTTGGTAAAATTATAAGCATATGAAAACAGCAGCATATAAAGGAGATTGTCAGACAACCACAGGCTTAGGTATCTAAAGGAAAACAAAGAGAGCTGGTTGCTGCAAACTCTGCAGCAGCTGAGAAATTAAAGGCAAACACTCCTCTTTCATAATCTGGAAAGCAATGGGAGCGCTGCCTCCTGGCAAAGCCTTTTGCTTAACAAGGCAACACAAGAAGGAGTCATCAGGGTTGAGGCCAGAAGGGCCCATTAGATCATCTCAAGTGACCTCCTCTCTAACAAAGGCCACTGGGTCCCACCCTTCTCCCTGTCCTGAGCCCAGCAACTCCTGCCTGATGACAGCATCCATCCCAGAAACTCATCCAGCCTTGAGAGGATGACAGAAGGAAACAGAATCCCCACCTTCATTCCTGTGGGTAATTGATGTCTCTGCTAAGTGCATGTGCCTCGTTTCAGCCAGCTCAGACTCTCTGCTCCCAGTGGGGTCTGTAAAGCCATCCAGCAGCCTGCTGGCTATTTTATCCAGCTCTCCTGTAACCCTTTCTTTACTCTCTGCACCCAGCTGATGCACGGGGAGCTCTGTGACACCTGCACAGGTGCCCACTGCAGCCCCTGCACCCTTCAGAGCAGCTGCTTTCCTTTGAGGACACAGCTCTCCATCCTCTGGCTATTTCCAGCACTCTACTTCATGCAGCAAGCACAGATTTTTGTCCATAATCTTCTACAAAAATGTGGCTCCCCGTGTCTGTGGGCTGAATCAGTATGGATATATCCAGAGAACACAAGGAAGTGGGAACAGGCAGCTCCTCTTAGTGGCACTGCAGGTTTTTGAATAAAACCAGATCCGTACAAGAGAACAAAGCAGAAAAGTAGATTTCAGAACATCACTGTGTTTAAGGGGGGAATAAAACACCAGGCACATCAAACAAATATTTGCAGACTGTCTTGGGCATAACTGACTTGTGTCTGGGTTATTCCAATGGGGAAATCAGTGTTGTTTGCTTTCTTATATTTAACTTGTAAAAAAAGAAATAAATTATTAAACCTGCTGCATGCATGCCAGAACTGATGTTCTTTTCATCACGTTCTAAGCTAAGAGAACAGTTGTCTTTAATCTTAATTTACATATAAATGAGTATTATTTAAAGGGTCAGCTTTGGTCTAGGCAGTTCATTGACTGGAAGTATTCTGGGAAAGTTTTGCCTGGGATTCTTGTCAGTGTTTGTATTTCTGGATGCTCTCAGGTATTTGCATGTTGGCAAGGGTCACACTTGGAGCATGGCAAAGCTGCCTGGCATTTGTGCTGCTGTTCCCTGCAGGGAAGGAGTTCCTGCTCCTGGGTGTAGGGGAAATGAGTCCATCACCAGCTGCAGAGCCTCCAGCTGAGCCTGCCACAGGCAGAAGCACAGCAAACACACGTCTGTGAAATTTAATTCCCTACTCAGGAGCCCCTTTGTCTGTCCAGTCTTTCCTTCTCCTAGAACTACCCTGATTTCTGTGCTGAGGACTGGTCTATAGGCACAGCAGAAGAGAATTTCCCTCACAAGTAACAAGGCATCAATTCCAAAGGGATTCAGCCACAGAAGATTTCATATTTTGCTGTTCTTACCTGCCCAAGTTCTCGGTGTCTGGGCTGACCAGGTACATGAGGTTCCTGAGGGTATGCAGGGGGTGCAACAGATCTAAATTTACATGCTGACATGGGGAAAGGAAAAAAAAACAAAACATGAGCAGATCCTGAAGGAAACCAGCAGGCACAGCTGATATTTAAAAAGCTATTCAAAGATATCAAATGTGCCTCCTCCCTACCTGAGAGAAGCAGAGGTGAAGGATATTAGCATTCAGCTTCTTCACTGCCCGTGTGAACCTGTGTCTGCTGAGATTCTCTCCACAGAATTCACTGTTAAAACACCACACACACAAAAACACACAGAAAACAAAATTCTGTGAAAATACACTTACTAGAAGCATCAGCATTCCATGCCCTGGCTTCCTAACAAATCCTGGAGTAAAAATCCTCACAGCGAGCACTTGTTCAAAGTCTACAGCCAGTTCTAGAGTGCTGAGGAGATTAATTTTAAACCTAGCAGGACTGTGAGCATTTTATCATCAAGCTCTGCTTGCCCTGACCTCACCAGTTTGCACAGGACAGGTGGTGTGAACTGCAGGGAACTCAGATCCACCAGAGCCAAACTGTTTCAGATCTCCTTTAAAGTCTTGCATCATTTCCTGTTCCCAACCTTTTCCTTCTGTGAGGGCTGAACACCCAAACAAAATCAGAGAATCACAGATTGGTTTGGGTTGGAAGGGACTTTCAGATCATCTGGTTCCAAACCCCCAGCCACAGGGTGGGGAAAAGCTGACACCCTACACAACTTTTGTGCCCTCACTTTGACAACCACTACTTTAAAACACTTGAAAGAATCTCAGCAGCACATCTGGAACCCCTGGCAGTCTGAGCAGGTCTGCAGCTCCTTCTGTGCAGATCCCAGCTGCTCCACACAGACACCAAAATTCTAACAGTGCTCTAGGTGTGCTGCCCATGGGTTTTTCATCCCATTGGGAATGACACTGCTGCCAGGCCATATTAAACCACTTGTCCTACAGCACAGGAGGCAGCAGAGCTGTTCCAGAGCTGCTGCACTGGGCTGGGATTTTGTGAAGCACAGTGGGGTCCAGTAAAATGAAAAGTGCCATTCGTGCACTGCCATGTTTAATCTCTCATTTGAGGATGCTGAATATGTCAATTAGAGAGGTGTTATTTTCAACTGTGATGGTTGGCTTCCCTCTCAAGAGGTAAAAAGGGAGGGACTGTTAACTGTGCCCTAAAATCCTGCTAGGCCTCCCCTCAAACAGCACAAAAATCCACAAGCCACCTGTGTTATCAAAAGCTGTTCCAATCCATGACTTTACTCCTCAAACTGACCTGATCTAAGGTCACAGATTCCCCTGCTGTGTTTTTACTTGCCTGTTGCAGAGCTTCTTGGGAAGATTTACATCAAGTATGAGAGACAAAGTGTTAACGAGCTGAGTTGCATAGCACAATGCAGCACTGATGGTATGAGCAGGGTTATTATGTTCCATATCTGAAAGAAATAAAAACAACATGAAATCTTTGTTTTAAATGAAGTCTCAGTGGGTGTGTTAATATGTTCCTGGAGTCTACTCTGGAATATGTCATTTCTAAGTATGGAGAACAGCCTGAATCTGCAATCATTTCCAGTGAAATCTGTCAGAAGTTGGAAGAAAATAGTAATTCTTGGAATTCCTGTTAAGATGATGACATGTGAACTGTGTCAAAACTGTGAATAATTAACTTTCTCTATTTCACTGTGCTGTGCATGCCAGTGAGCATTTCATGCAAAAGAAGATTTCAGAAGACTAGTCATAAAATCACAGAATGGTTTGGGTTGGAAGGGACCTTAAAGACCACCTAATTCCAACGGGGCAGGGAATCTTCTCCTAAAATTCTGCCATTTATTTCTGGCTCAGGCTGAGAACAAATGGACCAGTCTACTACTCCTCAGTGCCTTCTGCTGGCACCCAAATGTCCCAGCTGCCTAAAACCATGCCTTGCCCCTTACCAGGTCCCTGTGTGGTCTTCTTCTCCTCCACCCAGTTGTAGTAGGCAGAGTAGTCCCCGTTGTTGGGGAGGATGATCCAGGGCCCCGTGATGCTGATGCTGGTGTCCCCGTTGTGGTCGTCACACACCCACCTCCCAGACAGGTACGTGGTTCTCCGTGCCTCTGCCAGCTTGCTCACAGTGCTGGAGGTCATGGCATTGTCACTCTCTGAGGACACGTCTGCAGGGTCCCTGCAGGGCCCAGAGGGGTTGGAAAGAAGTGGTTGGGAATGGAATCAGACACACACTTGGCAGGCACTGAGCCAGGTTTCACCAAGGGCAAAGTGCTTGTAGGAGTGCTCCTGTAAAAGTCCTCAGTCCCAAAAGTACTGTCATTTGTTCTGGGGTTTTTATTTGGCTGTTTTTGTAGAATCCAGGAATGGTTTGGGTTGGAAAGGACCTTATAGACCACTTCTGCAAAACTCTTCATTCCCAAAATTACTTTAATTTGCTCTGGGATTTTAATTACCTGTTTTTGTAGAATCTTAGAAAGGTTTGGGTTGGAAGGGACACCTCATCTCATTCCACCCCTGCCACGGGTAGGGACACCTTCTACTAGACCAGGCTGCTCTATGCCCTGTCCAGCCTGGCCCTGGACACTTCCAGGGATGGGGAATCCATATTTTAAGGAAGCTGAACAGAGGACAGCTGTTATCCCTCAGTGGGGAGATGCAAGCACCTCCAGATTCAGATTCTTCCATCCTGGACCTCTCTCTGTGGGTGAGAACACAACTCCTCCTCCTCCTCCTCCTCCCCACAGACCCTAAGGGAGCCAGACCACCTACAGACTGACACAACTCTCTTCTGGGTGCCTAAAGCCATGCAAAACGACCCCAAAAGGACAAGCCTGCCATACCTCATGCTTGTCTTCACCTCCTCCATGGGGAAGATGACCGAGGTCAGCTCCAGGATGTGCGCGCGCCGGAGGTTCGCCAGGTGCTCGTACTGCGTTTTCAGGTCGAAGGTTTTTTTCTCCACCAGGTCTCCCAGCTTCCTGTTGTGCTTCTGGATCTTCTCCTTCTTCTCCTGGTGCCTCTGAGCCCTGCGATAATGCTTCTGGTTCTCCTCTTTAATCCTCAGCAGCCCCTCTGTGTCTGTGAGAACAGCAGCAGATGTTAGCCCTTGGAAAAGGAGCTGGGAAGTGCTTGTAGGAAAAGCTTGAGAAAAGCTTTATTAATATTTATGGAAAACAAGATCTATGGCAGCTTAAAACAGAAAACCCTGCTAAACTATTAACTTCTTCCAGCTGCTCAGTGGTATAACTTTTTTATCTCCTCTGGAGATCTCCAAGAGACTGCAACTGGGATTATTCTTTCCCTATCTTTTACCCAGCTATTTCTGGATTTGGAGCACAAAAGCCAAGATCTCCCAGTTTAATTAAACTCCTGAGGTAATCATCCTGACAGAAATAGCCTGACTGTACACGTTTCTATCGTGCTGGTCAAAAAAGCCCTGCCCTGCTTGCAGCCAAAATCAAGTGCAGATAGCATCTTCATTCAGCAGCCCTGGCACCTCTGCTGCTGGTAGTGTGGGTTATTTGGGATTCTCTCATGGATGTGCTCTCACAGCACTTGGATCCCAACAGTGCAGGCTCCTTGTTCCCACAGGGAACACTGGCTAGCTCCCTTTCCACTCACAAATGGGAATTGTGCTCATGGGATGAAGTGCTGCAACTGCCTGGATTCACTCCACGTGTGAGGCACACTGAGGCTTGGAAAAATACCCTGCAAGAGCATCTTGAAGCATCCAAGGCTGGGCCTGATGATCTTAGAGGTCTTTTGCAACCTTGATGAGCCTATAATCTGCTAATTCAGATATAAAATAAATAGCTGCAGTAATGAGAGTCAGCCACCTCTGTCTTTTAAAAGCACAGGGAAAGATTTCTTGTGCTCTCCCCAAGTTTAAACTCTCCCTGTGCCCTAGTTTGAAATGTGCCTGCCCCTGCAGACAGAGGCTGCTCTCTCTGAACATCAGGAATTATTTCCAGTCATCTGATCTGCTGCAATCCATGGTGTGTCTGGTAGGAAGGAAGATCTGGTATGTGGGAGATGCAAAGTCCCAAATTAAAGGAGGTGAGAAAAACTCCTCCATGAAGATAAGAACTAATAATCCTCAGGTTTATATAATCTAAATAAGTGACCCTTATTAGAGAAGCAGTAGAAAAATCCACTTTTTTCTGAGCAATGCCTGAATCCCTATGTGTCAGCTGTAATTCCCTTTCCTTTAAGCAATCCTGTAACATCAACAGAAAATCAATTAACACTTGCAGTCATATTCCCAAACTCTCCCTTTGCATAAAGAACAGGAGACAGGACAAGGAGGAAAAGGTCCAGCTGTTCAATTTTCACATTCATTTTTGACTTGAAAGGCTACTTTTTCAGAGTGAACTCCCTTCCCTGCAGGTCCAACAGCAATTATTTGGGAACAGGGGAGACAATGCACTCACATTTCCTCTTCAGCAGTCCCACAACTGTCCTGCCCTCTGCACAGCACCTCTGCTTTATGACCCAGTTTATGAGGTGATTAAAAATCTGTCCCCAGGAACACCACTGTGTCCCACACACCTGCACTGCCTGATAAATGCAAGCCCAGGCACACTGATCTCTGCCCAGAGAGCTCTGCCAGAGATTTGCAAGCCTGTCTCCTTGAACTGTTCTGCACAGAAAGAAGGCAAACACAAAGAGTTTAAAACATTATTTTAAGCACACCACTTATTGAGGTTTCCAGGAGAGTGAACTCCAAAAGCAGAAACCCAGCGTTCTAGAAATGTCTTTTATTTCAGAAAATTAAACTATGCCACATCCAAGAGCAGAGAAACAACCTTTTCACACTTTTTAATGCGGCCCAAAAGTGACCATGTTGGATCCTGATCTGTTGGCTACTCACAGCTAGAATTCATTTCTGGTCTCTCTCCAAAAGCAACTGAGCTAACAATAGGTTAGTTGGGCAACAGTCAGCTCAGTTTTTTGGTTACATCTAATCAAATCCACTGTGAATCAAGAGAAGTTGCAAAAGTTGCAGATAATAAATTCCAGAGAAGAGTGGGAAAATGGAGAACCCCACTCCCTGGTTGGTCCTGACACTCTGCCACCTCCAGAGCCGAGCATTTTGAGAAGAGGTGACTAATTCCTTAAAGTCACATTGATTTCCTCTTCTCCTTTCTTCACAGGCAAAAGACAAAAAGTCATAATCTAATCTCCATAACAATCATCTTCTACCCACTGAAAAGCTTGTTTTTCTTCAACTTCCTCCTCTCTAAACCAAACACAAATTTTCTTAGCTGTTCTATTTAATTTCCAATGCTCAGACTTTCCTCAGATGATTTGTATCTTTTTAAAATTGTTTAAATGGGACACCAGGCTTCCACTGAAGCAACAGCAACACCTGGCACAGCAGGATAACTGCTTCCATCTTAAATACAGCACTTATAGTACTTAACCCAGAAAGAGGCCTGAACCTTTCTGGAGCAGCACAAGATTGATAAATTTTATTTAATTTGCAATTCCCCAGATCCCTTCCTAACAAATCTCACCACCATCCCCCATTCTGGGTTTGTGTTTCTCTTTACAACAATGTGTACCTTGATTTTGTCCTTTTTAGATGATGCTGTCTATTTATCTGCATGATTTTGAATTTGGTCCTGGTCTCCAGAGAAGTCATTTCACCATCCAGCCTGGCTTCCTCCATTCCACCCTCTATTCTACTGAGCTATTATGGGAAATACTGAGGAGAACTGGGCCAGGAACTGGCTCCTGCTGAGCTCCACCTGTCTCACCTCCTCAGCTTGACCAGTGCCACCACTCTCTGAATGCAGCTTTTCTAACCCTTTGTGATGACCTTGCAGGGGTTACACCCAGAGCAAATTCTGTTTGCTCACAAGACAGTTTCAGGCAGTGCCCAAATCCAAATTACGTGCAGCTTCTGCTTCGTCCTCCACTGCACCACTTGGTCCCCAGATGAGGGGTTGATTTGACATGAATACCATGACATAAATAACAAAACATGGATTTGACGTGAGTATCATGACCAAGTGATGGCTATTTTTAACCACCTTACCTGTCAGTTACCAGCAGAGCCCCCCAGGTCTGTGGCAGGATGCCTGTGCCATCACTTTGAGGCTCTCCCTTCCTGCACCCTTTGAAAGCAGGGACTGTTTTCAGCTGCTCACACACCCTCGCTCCCTCACGTGTTCCCAAGTGCTCCACAGACCACTTCAGCTTGCTCCTTGGCTTCCATAAAGCAAATCAATGTGTAGCTGTCTGTCTCCTTTCCTTAGCCTGCAGTCCTCTCATGATGTCAGATTTAACCTGGCCAAGCAGCTGATCCCGTTTTCTTTGCAGGAAGATGAAGCAAAGGCAGCACTGAATGAATGCTTCAGACTTCTCTGCACTGTTATTGCTCTCTTTTCTGTTAACTAACACACTTGTCTGCTCATTCACCTTTTCTTTATCATCCATTTATTATTGTTACTATCCATCCTCCTTTTTAATTGAAAATAATTTTGCATCTCAGCCTTTTTGGTTTTTTACCCCAAGCCCATGCTAATCCTTTATGATTCTTCTCAGGTTCTGCCTCTGCTTCCACTCTCTGTATGGCTCCTCTTGAATTTCAAGCCACAAAAATATCCCAGATTCAATCAATATGCTTCTGAATATGCTTCCTTGCATGTAGGTTGTAAGGAGAGCTGCATATTCTCTTCTACAAGCCCATGCTAATCCTTTATGATTCTTCTCAGGTTCTGCCTCTGCTTCCACTCTCTGTATGGCTCCTCTTGAATTTCAAGCCACAAAAATATCCCAGATTCAATCAATATGCTTCTGAATATGCTTCCTCTACTTCCCTTGCATGTAGGTTGTAAGAAGAGCTGCATATTCTCTTCTGAAAATGACCCTGCAAATTTAGTGTAAAACAATCCAACGGGTTTCAAAAGCTGAAGTTTCTGAATTGAGCCTACACCTTCATTTCAGTGACTCTTGCTCAAGTAGGATTTTAGGATTTTCAGACAGGTGTGGGTTAAAATTCAGCAGTTTCAGGAAATCTGTGACAGCTGCAGAGCTGTTTGCTCCTCCTTATCAAGAGGAAGTGATCAGAAACACTACACTGAATAAAGCCATCTCTAGGGACACAGCCAGAGTCACAGGCTGCTAAGCATTTGCTCTGAAAGCTGCTGCAAAACCATCTCCATCCAGCTGAATAATGTCTGCTGTTTGCTAATTAAAACCCAAGCATAAAAAGGCCAAAATCCACTCAGTGATTTGCCTTCATGTTGATTTAGAAAGCGATGGTTTGGAAATTCACCATTTAAAAAAAAAAACTAATGCTCAAATTCACCTCAATTGATTTTTCACTCTAAGGAACAGAGAATTTTTCCAGATCACAAAAGCACAGGCATTACTCACGTCTTGTCATTTCATCATTTTCTTTGCAAATGGTCTGTTTCAGCTGCTCAATCCTCATCTTGCAAGACATTATTTTCCATCTCTGAAAAAGAACATTCAGCAACTCTAGGGCACAAACGACTTCAAACACGCTGAACTAATGATTAACAGCAAAGCCAGCAGCTTTAGTGCAAAAAGTAGCAGGATGCTCTTGAATGGATCAAACAAGTAAATATTTCATACAGTGTTTTGTGCACAGAAGAATGCCACAAACAAAATGAGTGCTTAGTATAAAGTCAATTGGTAAAATAAGTTATTGAACAAATGAGAAATGAAAAACTCAGACAGCTTGGAACACTCTGCTGGCAGAGCCCATTTCAGTTTTGCTTACAACAGGCTCTTTGGGAAAGCAGCACAATGCCCTCAAGGTAAACTGTAACTTTAAACTAGGAGATCTAGGAATTCAGAGAGTTTAAAAACCATGGGACACTTGGAGCAACTCACCAGCTGATCAGTTATTTCTTTCCCTTCCATGGCCTTCAAAACACTAGAGGAAAAAACATGATTGAAAGTTTTATGACTATCTGGACTTCGTCTGTCTGCAGCAACAGTGTATTAGAAGAGATTGTTTCCTTTTATGAGATCTCTTAGCTTTTATATCAATTTAATAAGTACAACTTACTGTTTTTGGAATTCTCTCTGTTTGGTTTTAAGATGCATCAGCCTTTCTTTCTTTTCTGAAAACCTGGAAGAGATTAAATTCTTTTATTGATATCTTGCACAATTACAGCACTGTAAGTTGTCTGAAAAAGATAATAAAATTGAAGCTTGGGGATTCTCCAAACCTCAGCTATCTGTCTTGATCTGGGGAAGTTAATGGCTAAATGTGTAAAACTCTTGCAGAACTCTAGAGCATGAGTCTCACTGGAATTGCAACACAGCCTCTAAGCTGGAGAAACATCAGAGTGTCAAACTATCAAATAAATAGCAAATTACTGCTATTTCTAGATTTATAGCTTAGCAAGATCAGTATTTTGTGTGTTACAAAAAACATGGGGTACTTTAAAAACCTTCAGTCACTGGAGAAATTAACAGTACTATCTCACATAGCCCATGACCCAAATGTCTGCTTCAGCTCTGCTTCACTGGACTCTAGGATATGGGAACTGATCAGAAAGGAACTTTCACAGGACTCATCATCCTGTGTTTTCACCCTTTGAGAATACAGAAAAGCCACATGCTGCCTCCCCTTACTGTTCCATAATTCATTCCATTTTTCTCTGCAACACATAGAATTGATGATTTCATTCCCACTAGAGCTATGATACTTGCAGATGCCCCATCCCTGGAAGTGTTCAAGGCCAGGCAGGCTGGGGCATGAAGGTGCCCATGGCAGGGGTTGGAACTAGATGGTCCTTAAGGTCCCTTCCAACCCAAACCAAGTGATTTTATGATTTTACCTTCATTTAATGGACATTTATGCTTTATTTAGAAAGAACAGTATACTAAGCCTTGACAGGATGACATATTGGATTTCCCTCTCTGTCACTCTGAGGATTTGATTTCAGGTAAAACTTCAAAATGCTTCAGTTTTTTCCTTCAAGTGCTGAAATCTGAAAGGTTGGTGACTACCTTTGGATTCAGAGCCTGTGTAACCACCCTCCAAGATGACATTAGCATTAGAACAACAAAACCACTGGCTGCTGCTTTTGTAGTCAAGCAAAAGAATCTGTTTTCCTTCCAAAACAAACCAAAACCAAATGCAGGTGCTTGGCACAAAAGCCAGAGGCCACACGTGAGCTGGAGGAATGTGGTGCAACTGGAGCCCAGCTGCTCAGCCCAGCTCATCCCCTCTTCCTGTGTGTCCTCACCCCAGGAGTCACCCTGGAAATGACAAAAGGCCCTGCATGAGCCTCCTGTTTACCACAGAGCAGAGCACACCCACTGCACCCCAACCTTTAGCTGCCACCAAAAGTGCCCTGGCCCAAAACACAGAGCTCAGCAGCCACCCAGGGAGAGTGCTGGGGTGATCTGGCAGCTCTTGGTTTCTCAGCTGGATTCATGGGCACAGACTGAACAGAATCACCCAAGTGCTGTCCATCACATCAGCAAAAAGCTGAATGATCTGTCAAAGAACACAGGAACAAAGGAAGTTCTGGCTGTGGAGGGAAGACAGAAGTATTTGGGAAGCCTGTAGAAATTCCATCTCATCACTTTGGCGGTGATGTCAAACAGCTCCTACCAAATCCTCCAGCAGGTTTCTCCTAAGCAAACATTTCCACTGCTTTATATAGCTCTGATTTCAATTGCATCCTGCAACTCCTTCTTCTTTATATATCTTTAGCCTTTCAATTTGGCAAAGAAACAAAACTCGGGATGAATTATTATAGGAACTCCCATAAAATGTAAACTGAGAGAACATCTAGAATTACCCATGAAATGTTTCTCTTTCCTCAAGTCTTATCACATTAAGGTGAGATTTTCTGTGGTTGCCTGGCTTATTTCCACATGTTCATGATTAGAGAGAAGCAACCAGAGAGAGGGGCTTCCTAAACTACAGGAGTTGATTAATGCTGAAGGAGCTGAGGGCACTGTATTCACTATAGCTCCCCTGCTGAAAAAAGTCACTATTCCTAACCAGAACCCATAGCTTGGAGAAATTAGCCAGGCTCAGACGTCACAATTACATTGTCTTTGGCTTTTGCCAGCTGCAGATACACAAAGCAAAGCAGTTCAGCAGTCTGGGAAACACACTCTGAGAATTTATGCACACAACAGGCTGGAGGACACTCCCAGGAGGAAGAAGAACCTCTGAGCTGAGACCAACATCAAGATGCCAGCTTGGCTTTTGAATACACAACACATTAGTCATGAAAAGAAGGATGGCAGTGACTGTTCTACTGGAGGACTTCTGGACTACTCATGCTTAATTGTAGCTCTCCTTAAGTAATTAATCTTAACAGCTCCTCAGTCTCTCCCCCTCACAGATACGGGGTGTGATTTTTCCCAGACAGATGAAAAACTTCCAATTTTGCTGTAGTTCTTCTACAAGTTAGCACACAATACAGTCCCATGAAATCTGAAATAATTAGAACATTAAATTGTTTGTCTTCACATAAGGAAATTTTACAAGAAAGTTATAAAAATAAACCATGGTTGGATACAAGGAGTAATGATTGGTTTCTTTCTATTTAACTGGAAGATAATGATCCTTCTCCCCCATCTGTAACATTTCAAAAAGACAAATGGGAGGCCCAAGTGCCCCCAAACACTTCCACATTCTGAATGTCTCACACTGAGCCACTCAGCAAAGGCCTTGTCATGACACTCCTCCAGCAGTGGCTGATCTAAAATTAACCCAGGTACTACTAGAAGGCATAAAATAAATAAATAAACAACGATGGCTGTAAACACCAGCTGAAAGGCAGCCCCTGAGCTGCAGCTGTCCCTGCATGGCTCTGCCCTGGTGCTGCTGCTCACCACTTCAAACATCTCCCCCTCTCCCAGGGCTCACATCACAAGAAATTCAGAGACACCCACAAAGAGCAAACAAAGATAACTGACCTCTTCCGCACTCTTAAATCAGTCACTCCAAATATTAATTAGAGAACACAAACAAAATGTTTCAGGCACGGTATAAACAAAATCCCATTATCCTCAAAACCCAAGCTTTTGTCCCTGCACAGTGTTCCTGCAGCCACTGAGGATATTTAGGTTGTTAACACTGTGTTATTCACACAGGAGTGCTGTTCTTTTAATTCATTAAAATAAATTTGCCATTTTTAATGAATTGCACTACTGCAATAAATTAATGGAAAAGTTCTGAGCAGCAGGAGAAACAAAGCCTGGGGAAGTAAAGTGTGTAGGGAGGCCCCAGGTTAATAAAACAGCAGTGACCCCCAGGGATGGAACTGTGATGTCCAGGCAGAGAAGGGGGGAAAAAAAGACAAAAAAAATAAAGAGATTTAATCCTTGCAGTTAAAAAACACAAGGTAAATATACAGGAGCTTTTCCAGCCACAGACAAATGGGGCAGTGAAAGCTTCTCAGGAGGATGCAGTGACAACTGTCAGACAGAAGAGCTGATCCTGTCTCATGTGAGAAGATAAAGAGGGTTTTCTCTTACATTGCTGCTTCTGGTACTTTGGCTAAAGCTGCTTCTTCATGACTTCATTTTCCTGATGGGCACAGACTGCTTAAGCCTTGGTTAATACAAAGCAACAGGGCTTCAACTCTAACAAAGGCTACAATTGAATTTCTATAATTAAACCTGATGTTTAGCCAAAAACTTAAGGCTGCAAAAGAGACAGGCAAAAAAAACCAAACTTGGTTTATATTCCAAGCTCCATATCCAACCTTTTAATAGAACCTGCAGAAAACCCCAAGCGGTCTCACACAACTACACATTTTCCACCTATTTTAGACAGGCTAAATCTAGTTTGTGGTTCTTCAACACAGCTTTTTTATATTGTAAAAGGGAAACCCATCCAGTGACAGACTAAAGTCTCAGTTGTGCAAGCTGACTCACAGCGGCTGACAGCATTTCCCCACTCCCGTGGACGCTGGTGGGTGAAAGGCACCACTGTCCCCTTGTTCCTGGGGACACAAGGAGCCTTTGGAGCGAGGACACGGCCACCCCACACAGCGGTGGCTGCTCGCCACCTTCCCAAAATAGCCCCAGGAGTCACTCCCAGCAGCTGCTAACGAGGGACCACGCTGCCAGCCAAGAATCAGAGCCCTTCCAGACATGGCCCTGGGGACTTTTGAAGAATCTGGGATGGCCAGCAGAGGTGGAGGAGCCATCTGAGTCACGCCGTGAGGAAATTTGTTTATGGGCACAGCGCTGCTCCAGGGAGAGCCAGCGCTCCACAAGGAGCAGCCCCTGAACTCCAGGGGATACTTTTTTTGTCCGCATTTATGGGTATACGCACAAGAAAAACGTTTATTTTCTTTCTTATACACCTTTGTAATTTTGCTTAACGATTCAGAGTACTATTTCAAGGAGTGTTGACGAAAAGAGGTAACCCGTTTGAAATAACGCTGCTCGGGTCTCTGTGCCCTGAGCTGCCTGGAGCTCCTGTGGCTACATCGACACGGACACATCTGCGCCTGACCGAGTGAAACTCGGGGTGACCCCTTAATTATTATTATTATTAAAACGATTATTATTTCAAGGCTCGTACCGCGGGTCCCGCTGTGTCCGCCCCCAGCCCCGGGCCGGGCCCCGGAGCGTTCCCCACCCACACCCTGAGCCCCCCGAGCCCCGGGGCAGCGGGGAAGGGGCACAACCCGGCCCCCATCCCCGAGGCAGGGCAGGCAGAGGCCGCCCCGCTGCCCTCAGCGCCGCCCGTACCTCTCCGAGTCGCGCCCGTCGAAGAAGACGAAGTCGCCGCTCTGCACGCACTTGGCGCAGGTGAGGCGGCGGCGCGTGGTGTTGCAGAGCGGGCACCGCTCCACCGCCACGTAGAGACCCTCGGCGTCCTCCTCAGCGCCCCGCAGAGCCCCGGGCCCGGCGCCGCTGCCCCCGCCCGGCCCCGCGGGCTGCGGCCGGCGGCCGCTGGGAGCCGCCATGTTGGGGCCGCGGGTCACGTGGGACGCTGTTGCCGGGCAGGGCATTGTGGGAAGGGGCGCTGAGGCGGCGGGCGGGAGCGGGGGAGGGCGCGGGACAAATCCTGATTTTTAATAGAAACTGCGCCCTTTGCCTCGTGCAGGAGCAAAGGGAGCACCGCTGGGATCGGCCCAGAGCGATGGGGGCGTTGAATGCGGCCCGTGGGGCTTCACAGCGGGTAGCTGTAGTATAACCAGGCAGTGACGCTGCTGCGGGGACTGCGGCTCCCAGCGAAAGCACGGCCGTGTATTTACAGTGACACACAAATCGCTTTGTCCAAGCGGCGAAGACCGATGTACAACCTGAAAAGCGACGCAGAGAGAGGTTACCTCAACCCAGCCCCCACGGTGGAGCGACGATGAGGAGTTAAATACACAGGATGAAGGAGGGTTGAGGAGAAGGGACCTTAAAAGCATCCAGTTCCAAGCTCCTGACCTCGAAATGAACACTTCCACTGTCCCAGGCTGCTCCAAGCCCTGTCCAGCCTGTCCAGGGACACTTCCAGGGATCCAGGGGCAGCCACAGCTGCTCTGGGCACCCTGGGCCTCACCACCCCTTTTCTGAGTAAAAAAGTCTTTCCTGCTAACTAATATTTCCTAATATGAACCTCCTCTCAGTTTGAAGTAATTTCCTATTCTGTCTGCAGGCAATTAGAGGAGACAGAGTCCACAGAAGCCAGAATAACTTAAACAATATCCCCATATGCCCCTTCCCACAAGAAACACAACTGCAAGAAAACAACACATTACCCTCCTTGATTTTTTTTTTTTTAGGTTTTTTTTTTTTTTTTTTTTTTTTTTAAGAGCAATTCCCAGCTTACCCAGCCTATATCTTTCCCCCCTTCCCAGTGTTATCAAACACCAAGCAGGAACAGCACTGTGGAGGTAGAACCAAGATTGTTGTTTTTAAGACAAGAGTTACCATAGCAAACATTTAACTTAATCAGTAGCTCGGTGAAAAGGCACAGAGCCCATTTCTTATCTCTCAGGCTTTATCTGTACTTCTAAAGAACACTAATTTTACCACTGAAATCACATGGCAAGCTCTTAAGCAAAATGTGATTTCTTGAAGAGGGCTCATCTCAGATAAACTTTTTTCACCCCCAACACCTCAACAAAACCAGGGTGTTTTCACTTACAAAAGATTGTTCTAACTGAAGCTCATCAGCTGCTACTGCAGCTACAGTGCAAATAAAAGTCCAGCCCATGGCTGTGGAAAATCTCCAACGTTAGAAAGCAAACAGAAAAGTTAAGCCTGTGTTTAAAATAGATTTGAGTGTGGAAATCCACAGTTTGACAGAAACTGATAACAGCTAAGACCAGCTTATCATGAGGAAGTGCACAAAGTTTTTCAAAGTTTGCAGGGAGATAGATATAAGAACACTTGTGAGAGACACATAACAGATACAGAAGATGAAGCCACACCCTCACCAAATCAGAAATAAACTTTTGTGGCAACAAAACTCAGCCCAGCAAGACGCTGTTCTGAGTTGAGCCAAGTATTTCCAGCAAGGACCGAGGAGGATTTTGGCCTGGGTTACACTTAAGTCATCTAAGAGCAACCTCTAGTGGTGTTTCCAGACAGGTAGCAACACCTTCAGGAGGGAAGGACACAGCAGAACTGTTCTGGCTTGCTTCCAGGGGCTTTCCAGAGCAGCCATGGGATAGGCTTTGCACTGTTCCTGCTCCCTGCACCACGCTGAGCAAGACACCTTCTGAAAAGAAAGGCTTGAGTTCAAACCAAGTACAGGAAACCTCATTGGTTTTGCTCCAAAATTACCAAATGTAGGTCCATTGCTGAACTCTGGTTAAGTAACACAGATAATTAAGTCATGACCATCCAAGGCTTTTTGTATTTTCCTCAAATCTATTTTTAACAAAGTTCCAAACCAACATGCTTCTGTCTGCACCAAACTCCCATCATCTGAGGGAGTAATACAAGTGGGTACCCATTTGGTTAAACTCTAACTTGTCCCATGTCAAATTAGACAATTTAATTAGTTACACCCCTCCACCCACAGATTTTCTAGCTATATCCCAGCAGCCAGGGCCTGGAATGTCTCCTCTGTGGAAGAAAACCCTGTACCCTCACACACAAAGAGTTTATCCAGCCAGTGGGATCAGAGCGATTCCAGCACTTGTGTTCTAACCACCAAAATCAAACTCATGCAGGATTTTGTAAACCATGTTGTAGACAATAATGTATGTTGAGCTTAAACATGAAACTACAACACTGCAGGAGCAATTCAGGACCCTTAGAGCTGAGGATGCTGATTAAGCCAATTTGAAGTGCAGTGTGGATTCACCTATTCAACAGGGAAAGAGACAAATTACTAAATTTTCTATTACAAAATATTTTTAAGTGCCACCTTAACATACATTCTATTAAAAGGGGATGCATTTATCAAGTGTTTTAACTTGACAGAAATTGTCAGAACTTAGGTGGATTACAGACAGATAATCTGAAAGAAAAGAACATTTCACAAGTTACAGAAAGAAATCAGCATATGTGGCATTCAGAAACGAATAATTTGCTTAATAATCCAGAGATGGGTCCAGGAATGCCCTTGGTTCTGCTCCATGCACAGCAGCACAAGCCCAGGTGTTATTCTGGATTGCTTTGGGAGCCGTGTCACGATGGTTTCTTGAAACCTCTTAAAATGGGGTAGATGTTCTCAAATGCCTCACAGAGTTCAGAACGGTCTTTTGCTCCTAAATGGACATTTAAGAAAAAAAAAATTCATGAATAAACAGAGTTCTGAACTTAAACTAAATGCAGTTTAAACCCAGTGAGATTACAAACCATGAAGAAACCCAGGAGATAGAAATTCTGCTTTTACTAGCAAGGTGTTTTCAATCTGCCACCTCAAAGAGCAACACTAAATGCAATTTAAACCCAGTGAGATTACAAACCATGAAGAAACCTAGGAGACTGAAAACACCTTGCTAGTAAAAGCAGAATTTCTATCTGCCACCTCAAAGAGCAATTCCTAGCTTGGTTAGCTTTAAGACTAGTTTTGTTTAATCTGTGGAACCAAAACAACAATTTTCTGCTCTTGACAGGTGCAAAATACTGGCTTTGAAGAAAGAAAAAAAAAAAGCATCTGAGCACCACCATGGTGTTATCTGCTTTAGAATAACAGCTCTGCCTGCTCATGAGGTGAGTGGAAAGGTAGAAACAAGAATTGGAAGGCCTTTATTTCATACTGGGAGTTGTTCCACAGTTTGAGAACTCTCCTTCTCCAGCTCTGAGAAGCAATTTTACTTTTAAGCTGTGTGTTAGGACACCTTTGATTTCAAATCCTTTTCTGTGGTACTGTAAACAAATCTTTAATACCAAGTTTTGCACACAAACTGCATTGCAGTAGGCAGGAACATTCCCTGCCAGCAACACTACTCATGCCAGTCCAACAAACATCAGCTAGAAGAAAACTGCATTTAAATTAGCTAAAAGTGGAATTAAACCCTGCTTAAGTTAAATGTGTAAACCTTTTCTCATGTCCTCACTTGGACATGAATAATTCATCTGCCTCACCACAACTTTTACTTTCAAAAGTAAAGTTACTTTCTTGATTAGGGAAAAAAGCCCCTCCTCACATCTCAGCAAATTCAGTTTATCATTATAGCAGGGCCCAGGACTCACAGCAAAGGACTGAGTGTGCAGCAAGGCCATTACAATTAGTGTACCCCAAAAAACACAAGCATCAGTGGAATGGAACTGACCAGTGTCATTTTACTGACCAGTATGATTTTACTGACCAGTATGATTTTACTGGACCTAAGAAAATTGTGGACGTTGGAGGGGGAAGCATTTAAGCTTTGTCCTGAGTGCCCCATCCTTCAGCTGGCTGAGCTCATTCCTGATTTATGGTTGTGAGAATCTCTGGCTAAGGCAGGCACTTCTCTTGCCTTCCCCGTGTCTCAGAGCTGTGTTGTGAATATGATTACCACATTCAGAGCTTCTGGGAATAAGCACCATTTACCTTTCAGTACATCTGAATATAAGCATTTTCATGAGCTTCACAAAAAGGACGTGCCAGGAGCTCAGGAATTCACCTTTTTTGAAAAAGTCACTTGGGATCTGAGGTACAGGTGTCTGCTGAGCACACTGACTCAGCAGGGCTTTTGCCTCACAGTTTTTTTGCCAAACAGTCTGGAACAAGCTCTTAGATCTCCACCCTTTCCTCTGACAATTCCTACTAAATGTTGTCAGTGAAGTGTTTTAAGAAGTTTGTTTCCTGTCCAAGCAATTTTAAATTGCTTATTGTGAGGTTCCCATTTAAGTGCCTGAGTAGTTGCTGGCATGTCAGCATCCTGTTGGCATCCTCTGCATTGGCATGTGGCATCAGGCTTTGAACAAAAAAAATACTTAACATGGAAATCTGAGACTCTGTATATGAAACAATACAAGATTCTAGTGCAACAATACTGATGTTATCTGCAGAAAACACAGATAAAGCTGCAGCAGCCATTAAAAAGATCCCTGAGTGGCTTTACTGTGGCAAGATACTGATTTTTAGTTAATGTTTAATTTAAATGCTCTCAGAAAGTGAAGCAGTGGGTAGAGGCACAGAGAGGCAGCACTTACCAGTCAGTACAACCTTCCCAGACACAAAGATAAGCAGCACTATCCTTGGTTTGACCATCCTATAAACCAGGCCAGGGAATAGTTCAGGTTCATAGCTGTTCAAAGCAAGCAGGTGAGATTAGTAAAATGGAAATGCTGTTTCAGTGTTGTATGAATGAAGTGCTCTTTAATTACAGTAGCAATAGGGTAGTTAACCACACTGATTTTATCTAGCTGCCCTGAGAAAGGTTCAGGTCGGGTTTTGGACATCTTGAAGAGAAACCTGTTAAAACCAGCTGGAGCTGGTGGGGGATCTTCATGCTGACTTTTAAAGACTTGTGAGCCACTTGTGATTAGTCATGGCCTTGGAACCTTTATTGTAATCTTCAAACAGGCCTCAAATCATGGAATGGCCTGGCTTAAAAATCTCCTCATTCCACCCCCTGCCATGGGCAGAGACACCTTCCACTATCCCAGTTTGTTCCAAGGCCCAGCCAACCTGGCCTGGAACACTTCCAGGGATCCAGGGGCAGCCACAGCTTCTGTGGGCACCCTGTGCCAGGGCCTCCCACCCTCACAGAAATCTTTCTTAGTCTGCAAAGAGCCCTTATCAGGAAGCATCCTGTGCAACTAAGACAAGATAACAGCCAATGTAAATATTTAATACATATCTATTCCTAAATGAAATGCAAACTATTAGATGCAGTGCTAATAAAAGACAACTGAATTTTGGCTTTGTCAGTGCTGGAATCATCCTTTCCTGATGGCAGTATCTAGTTTTGAACAAGCTGATCTCACAGGTACAACATGCCCTCACTCATCTCCAGCTTTACTTTCAATTCTTGGCTAAAGAACATCCAAACAGAACTGAAACAATATCCCAGAAAAACACAGTATACCTGCAATTCTGCATTTTGCAAGTGCAGTTTGGCTTCATGCCTGAAGGTTGGAAACCTTATCCCTGCAGACAGGAATTTGCTTTGCTGGTACTTAAGAGGCCACCTTGGTATTAAAATCCACAGTGGAGCTGATGCTTCAGGTTTAGCTTTTATATTTTTCAGATCCTGTGCTGCTTTAGTCTGTGGGGCTGGGCTTCACATCAGGGGATGGTTCTGATGGTGTAGTTCTGAGCTCTCTGCACAGAGCAGGGACACAAAACAATTCCTGCTCTAGCTGGGGACAAAGGACAAATGATCCAAATCTCAGCCCCAAGAGCATAAACAACGTGGGCTGCAGAGAGAAAAACAAGCAGGATGGGACTGCAGGGGCTAAAGCTGGAATTGGACAATTAACTCCAATACGCAAATGGAGCAGAACTTATAAAAGTGTGAGACCCTGTGACTGGTGATCCATTTTGGTTCACCTGGGGTGCAGCCCTGGCTGGGCTCTTGTGCTGCCCAAAGTGGATCCATGGAGGAGATCCTTTGAATAAATCCCTGCTTTATTCTTGAACTCTGTCCAGTCTCTGTTCTAGGTCAGCCTGCACAGGGCATCAGAGCAGAGGCACGGACCAGGCTCAAGTGGCCTCAGACCCTGCTGCCAGGTGCACAGGGCTGTACCTGATCTCCTCCTACCTGCTGAACTGCTGGTGGGTGAGAACCAAGCCTTCCAGGCGGATGGGGAACCTCACATCACAGCTCCCCACCATATTCTGGATCTTGAAGTCCAAGAACTTGGCAGGGAAGCCGAGCTTCTGCACCACCCGTGCATATTTCCTGGCTGCCAGCCTCGACTGCTCTTCACTGAGGGAAGAAACCTTTATTGTAATCTCCAAACAGCCCTCAAATCATAGAATCCCACAATGGCTGGGGCTGGAAGAGACCTTAAAGCCCATCTTGTTCCACCCCCTGCCATGGGCAGGGACACCTTCCACTATTCCAGGGTGCTCCTGTCCAGCCTGGCCTGGAGCACTTCCAGGGGGATGGGGCTTTTGACTGAAGGAAGAGCAAAGGAGAAAAAACAATTTATTAACTTATTTGTTAAAATAACACTTATTTGTGCTTTCCTCTGCTCTTGAGGTGGAATTCAGTTTGTAGCCACCACTGTGCTACTCTGCACTACAGAAAAAGAGATCCTGCTGCTCAAAATAGCAAGGTTCCCTTCCCCAGAACTGCTGCAGGGAGCTAAAAAGAGTAAGGCACTTGTTCATTCACCTTCCTGTGGTCTGGTTGAACCCACTGGAGATGTTTCATCACTCAGAGGTTCCCCTTCTGAGAGGTTTCTCAGTTCCTCAAAACAGCTCAGCGCTGATCCAGGAGTTAAACTGCAGCACCAGTACAGTCACCTACCTTGGGTGGTGGTAGAGGCTGGAGAAGAGGTCTCTTAAGCATGAATTAATTAATTCTAATTGACTGTTTTGGGATATAAAAAACAAAGCTGACTGCTGAACTTCAGGGGAAAAAAGCTTCAGAGTACAGAAATAAACTTTTGCTTTCCCCAATTCCCATTTCCTCTAGAGGCAGATGTGTTGACTGGTGAACACAGACACTAAAGGGAGACTTGACAGACACAAGTTATGTCCTAAACACTTTTAAAAATCAGTGAGAAATGCAAATAATCCCTTAACAATTTCTGGGAATTTCAGCAGCTTTCCTACTGATGTCTGCCTAGCTCAATCTAAATTCAAGGACAGAAGTACACTGTTCAGAAATTGCTAAAGTGCCATCATAAAGAAAGCAAGTTTTTCAATATCAGTGCTTCACTTTTTCTTGCAATTAGTCCTTTGCTAGATGTTTTACGCAAGACTTTTCAGACATTCTCCATCAGAATATATGCATAGCTGCAAGACCCAGACCTTTAGAGGGAAGGGAAAAACTAGAAAAATACCTTTTTGCTCCTGTGCAGACCATTTTTCCTGAACTGAAGATGAGTGCTGTTGTTCGTGGCTCCCTGATTCTCATGATCACAGCAGCAAACCTCTACAAATCCAAAGGAAAACCTGACAGGAATTAAGCTGTATTTCTATTCAGTCTTGCAACAATTAAAACTTTCTAAGCTTGTCACAACACATATTTTCTTTTTAAGTGTTTCTTTCCCACCCTGAAGTTATTTCCCAGCCACCTAGGAGCAGAGGAGTTAAGACCCCAGTCACAGGAACATTGGGATCAATCAGCACTGGGAAAGGGAAGTGAGGGTAAAGCTCTGAGTCCAAGATTTACCTTTGGGTTATACTCTGCATTTCTGGCACGCAAAGCTATGTTCTTCAGATGCAGTTTACAACCCAAGTTTACAGTTGACACGATATTCCTGAGGAACGAGGGAGGAATTTTCTCATTGCAAAATCCAGCCACTGCAGAGCCAACCCCAGTAGTACAGTCACATTCCAATTAATAATTGCCATCGACTGATTTCCTGCCTGTCTCTTCCCCACTCAAGCATTAAGCTACTTCTGGCAAAACTTAGGTAATTCAATCCAAAACTGCGCTTTGAGATAGAACAAAGTGTGAAATTTTTAGTCTCTGAGAATTATAAGTTTGTGTGTCTTCCAAAAACTGCATCACTGAAGCCTTTCACACCTTGGGATTGAACCATTACTGACTATTTAGAGTTACCACAGCACCTAAAGTAGGTAGGGGTGGGTTATTTCCTACAGATATAAACTATTCCAGATTTGCTCTATCTTAGACAGAACAGCACCTTTTAATGAGGCCAGAGATTCTCATACTCAGTTGTGTTTCTCCTTTTGAAAAGGCACAGTGACATCTTTTAACCCCTGGAGTCTGCTGTCATCCTTCACATTCTCCTTCCTGGAGGAAATCCTCCTTCTCAATATATTCATATTTTTATCCAATATTGTCAGTTCATTTTCTCCACCTCTCCCCTTCAAGAGGAGGAAAAAAAAAAAACCAACAAAAAACTACTCCTACAAAAAGCTACTCCTGTAGTTTTGTGGCTTATTTAAGACCATGTCATGCTTGCTACATTTTCCAAGTGAAAAATCAGAGCAACACCTTGCAGTTTAAGCCAAACTCTGACTGTGGTGTGTGTGCTACATAAATAACACAACTTACTGTAGCTGGGGGACTATTCCAGAACTTTCTGAGGCAGATGTTGCCGGGGTGATCGGAGTTAGAGGAGTCAGGGGAGGACACACGCCAGGTGCTTCAGGAGATGGCTGAGCTGCACCTGGATGTGACAAGCTGCTTTCATCCATGAAAACACCACTCTCCTCCTTACTTGGTAGTGACCCATCAAGCTCTTTTTGGGTTTCATGACCATCCTCTGAGAGGTTTTGTTCTTTGTTATCTTGGGTGACATCTGGGAGAAAGCTGAGGTCCACGGAGGAGAAGTCTGTATGGAGCTCCTTGGACTGACTTAACTGGGAAGATGCTTGAATTGGAAGTTCTAAATCATAAGGGCTCACAGGAGAGAACAGATGAGGACTAGTGGAGAAGTCATCCTTGAATTAAGAAAAAGTGCCATTAAGGGTCTTGTATTAAAACAGTGACTGTAATAGGGAGAGTAAATTAAGATTAATCTTCAATGAGGAAGTTTCAATAATTTTCCTCCAGTGTATATTTTAGCAAAGACTAGTTTTAAGGTTGAAAGCATATCCTTTGCTTTCCTGTGAGCATGTAAAAATCCAGATAGCTCGCATAATGCATTTTCACCACAGTCCATGGTTTCATCACTGAAACCTGGGATACATGAAACATCACTGAAACCTTCATCACATGAGCTCCTGGGACAGCGCAAATTGAGAAATGCAGGTACAACAGTGGCACTTCACCCTTCACAGCCACTGTCCCACCTCAGCCATGCACACAACCACGTTATCACACTCATGAGTTTTTCCAAGGAAGACAGACAGAATTTTCTGGCTGTTTTCTCTCCCATTCTGTATGTGATTCCATTTCCTCTCTCTGCTAGCAGGGGACAGTGTCAGCTTTGCTTTGTGCAACAGAGGGCAGCAGCTCACAGAACCAGCAGCAATTAATTGCTCAGCTCCTGGAGGCCACCAGCCTGAATGAAGCTTTAGATGAGCAGAAGGAACTAAAAAAAGCCTCACCACAGTCAGCAGAACCAAGCACACAACACACCTGCAAGTAAGGTCTTTCATACTGATGTCCCTCTTTATCAACTATTCACTATTAAAAGCTTTTTAAAAAGCATCATCATGTCAATGAGACAAGAATTTCAGGACAGAATTTATTCCTCTCTGGTGCATAAGCCTCTTTCTGAAGGTGGTTTCGGCCAACATCCACAGCAGGTGACAGCTTGGACTAAAGAATCCATACAAGAGGTTTTGTGTTTAATCAGGCATTTTTAGGTTCAAGAGCCAGAAAGACTTGAAAAGTCCAAGCACAAATCATAACAGGGAATGGTGTGTGAGGCCCTCGAGTTGGCAGCAAGTGCCTGACCTCCAGCAGGAGCAGGATTTCCAGATCAATGCTTCCCAGCCCTGAGCTAGTGCTGCTCTCTTCTAGTCAGCTCACTTGGCAACCCAGCCATGCACATGGGGACATCTCTGCTCCTACTTTGCAGTATATCTGGAAAACTCTGACAAAGTCACAAATCCTCCCAGAGAACCCTCACTAGCCTGAAGACAGATGCAATCAGGAAAGCATTGCCAACACGCACAATTAAAACTGCTTCTAAAACTGACTTCTAAATGCAGAGCCCCACAGAAGATCTGGTGGGGCAGGGTGCTGTTGAATAAGTTTAGGTACTCCTTTACTCTTTAGAAAAAAAGGATCAAATATTTAATTAACAGTTACAAGTAAAATATTATGGAATCACAAAAATACATCTATTTTAAATAGATATTTTTCAAGGCAGCAGCAAGGGAAGAAAGTCACAGTCCCTGCAAGAATTTCAGTGGACTAAGGATTAGCTGTACAGGAGCTCATTAGGAAGGTTTTGTAGTAACCACAGCATAGAGAAAATGATACAAAAGCTCCCTGTGAGACTACTCACATCATACTAATGGGCATCAAAGAATGATCATAACAGTAAAAAAAACACCCACAAACAAACAACCAACGCCAGTTTGTGACATATCTTAAAGAAGCTGATGGAGAAACGAGTGGCACATGAGGCTGGAAGTATCACACAGATGTGAAGTTTTCAAAAAGTAGAGTAAATTGCATTGAGCAGGTAGAAACAGAAAGCAAATTTTTCTTTCTGATCAGGTTTGCACCTAAGAGGTCTGAGGAAAAGCCCTGATAGGGTTAAGTGCTGGGGAATATTTCCTTCTTGTCAGACAGATGCTCAGAGGCTGCAAAAGGGGCACAAGACCATGTTTGCATTGGGCTGGCTGCCAAGGGTTATTGCTATAGACTCTGGGTTAATTAACTTCACCAAGGCCCCATCAACTGCATAGCTTTGGACATCTCCCAGCAGCTCCAGGGAGGAGATTTCACTCACAGATCCTGTCTGAGATCTCTCAGTTTGGGGCAGCTTGAGGGGAAACAGCCTTTTTCACTTCCACTGCAGAAATCCCTGCAACTCAGGTAGACACAAATCAAATCCAGCTGCCTTAAGCAACAAACTTGGATTATTTTTTTCTTTTCCTCCCTGCAGTAATATCACACATCTGCTACTATCAAGGGGACCAGCAAACATGAAATATAAAAAGCTCACTAGCACTTATAAAAGCCGTATTATGCATTACCACATTATATACTTTGTGAAAGCACATTCAGAGCGCTTTACCCACTGCCACGGGATAGTCTCTGGATTTAAACAGCTCATGCTAAGCCTGTTTTCTGAGCTGAAAAGTAGTTTACAACAGGATGTAAAGAAGTTTTGTTCCCTGAGTAACGATGTGTAACTCAGCTGTGGAGCCCAGCCCTCTCCCAGTTGTTCCTACAACCACCTGAGATCAGGACGAGTCTAGCTAAACCAACACACTTGGCTTTTCCTTTGAATCACACCGTTTTACAACAGCTTTTCCTGATGAAAATTAGGCATTTATGCATTTGCGCAAGGCTCCTTAAACAAAACAGCATTTTTATTCGAGTGTTTCTTTGAAATGCTTCCTCAGCCCTCTGAAGAGCACATGTCACTGGGTTGGCTGGGGGAGCAGAAAAGGGAATGATGAGATTTACACGTTGCTTATGGCGGGTGGAGGACGACCACGCCAAACACCGAAATAAGGAATTTTTGCACACATTTACTCACCCGAACGGGAGATGCGAGCCTGCTGCCCTCTCGGTGCCCACCAGCACCCGGGCTGAGCCTCGCAGGCAGCATCCCACGGCCAGCGTTTAAACGCAGCCGCATCGTCCCTCTTGGCAGGGAGCTCCTCCATACTTCCGGCAGCTCCAGGACAGCAGGAACCCCCGGGACAGGGAGGAACCCCCGGGACAATGGAATTTGGGGCTCATCCCGGCAGGATTGCGGTAATGACGCAGTTGAGGTGCGGCTGCGGGGCTGCTCCCAGCGCAGCGTTGGTGGTATAGTGGTGAGCATAGCTGCCTTCCAAGCAGTTGACCCGGGTTCGATTCCCGGCCAACGCAGCTTCAATTTTCTTTTTTCTCCTCCTTCCTTGATTTTTTCTTTCCTCCCTTACCTGCCCGCTGCAGCTCTCCAGGTACCGCTCCAGCGGCGACACGCCCTCCATGGGCACAGCCACCGACACAAAGCTGCCAACCCTGCTCCGGTGCTGCTTTTAACCCCCAGGTGCCACGTGTCAGGGAGCAGAGCCCATCACAGCGGGGAGCTTTACCCTCATCTACCAGCCTTGGAGCCTCTGGTCTGCCTGCACGGCTGTCTGAGAGGGTTTGCCCCATCCTGCAGGATTACAGAAATCGGGGTGCTCTTGCGTGCTTTACAAGAGCCTAAAACACAACCTGTGCCCGAGCTCCTCTGAGCCTGCGGGCTGAAGAGGAATGAACTTGGACCTTGTAGTTAGTAGTACCAAATATAGTTTAGACCTTGCACAGATGAAGCTTTTCAGCAAGTGTCATGTGCCCCTTAATTTCTCCCACCTGCCTCTGGTCCTTCCAGAAGGGCCCCCGCAGCCAAAAGTGTAAATCAAACTGAAGGTGTTGTGGTGAATTGGTTTATTCTCAGTTGGGTTAACGCTGCTTGAGGGGGGGCAGGGAGAAGTCTTTACACTTTACATTCACTGTCCTCCCCGTGCAGGCATTTCCCCTCTGGAGTGTACTTCTGCCCTCTGTGAGTGATGATTTAGGGCCATTCCCTTTTCCCATGTCCCAGTGTGAGGCAGCATGTTCCCAGGGAGGAGCTCATGGCTGCTGGATGCTCTGGGAGTCTCACACTGCTGACACAGTTTGGCTTGGGTGCCACTTGAGTTGATGCCAGCAGTTGCTGTCTGATTTGTTCCTTCTCTCCTGTCCTGTTCCTGTGTGGGGATGGATGGATGGATGGATGGATGGATGGATGGATGGATGGATGGATGGATGGATGGATGGATGGATGGATTTCTGTGGAGGCACAGCTGGCACCACATCCCCGTGCCTGCCTGGTGGGTTGTTGTGATCACTGCACTGTTGCTCTGCCAGACAGGACTTTACTGTGAGATTTGCTTACAAACAGCAAGCTGAACTGAAGAAACCCTTTGGAAGAAGATGTCAAAGCTCAGACATGCAGCAGGTCCTTGGGAGGTGCTGCCAGGCTCCTCTTACTGCTCCAGAGGTGCAAAGGCTTAGATTAATGCCCTTTATCCATGGCTGATGAGCATCCTTCCCTCCTCAGCCAGCCTGCTGGGCTTGTTTGTGGTGTTTCTGGGACTCACAAGTGAGTAATAAAAGGTGCCAAATCCTCCCAGCTCCAGAAAAATCCAGCCTCAAGCAGGTTGGTTTACATCACACAGCCTGTCCTGGAGGCAAATCAGGCAGCAAAGCAAGGAGAGGACTCAGAGAGGTTGTGCTTTAAATTAGGGAGGCTGGTGGAGCTAGCTCGGGTCAGCTCAGGATGGTTAAATCTAAAATGTCCCATTTAGGGCTGGCAGGTGATTGGGGTGCTCACAGACAGCTCCATGATCTCAGCTGCATTTGTGGGCACTGAGGGCTGTGCTCGGGGGCTCTGCAGTGCCAGCCCAGCCCTCACAGCTGCTCCCTGAGAGCCTTGTGGGCTTGCCCTGCCCTCAGAAACCATTGAACTGAGCAGAGGGATCGTGCTGAGTGTTGCCCTTGCAGTGACATCTCAGGGGAAGGAGGCTGCTGCTCCCCCAGTGGGTGACACTGCTGCTCTGCTTCAGTTGGGAAGCTGGGGGAGCTCCTGGGGCTCCCCTGGTGTGGCCCTGCCTGTAGCACTGCAGCTGTAGTGCTGTGAATCTCCTCAGCTAATTAATCCTTCATTGCAGAACCCCCTGGAGAGGAGACATGCTCATCCTGAAGCCCCTGGGAATTGTTTTGTCTGCATTTTTTGAACCTGAGATACAGAAGGTCAAATAATGGTGTTCAAGTGAGCGAGGCTACATCAGAGAGGAACATAAAATATAAATCTCTCGATACTGGTGTTGTTTCTTGCCTTGAATAAGGACAAATGGCAGGGGCACAAGGAAGCATTGAGATTTTGGATGAGTCATGGAGTATGGTGTCTCAGGTTAAATAGGTGAAAGATTATTTATCCATTTGAAGAAGGGAAAGGGTTTAGAAGGCTAAGAGAGCCTCTGAGGATCCAAGAGTCACACTGTGTGTGCAATTCAAGCTTTCAGGGCAGCTTTGCTGCAGGGGAAGGGTCTGCTGGCCACTGCCCAAAGGAGGGCAGCTCTGGCTGTGCCTCAGGAGGGCTCTGTGCTCACAGACTCCTCCTCCAGGGAGGCTCCATGAGGGGGGTGTGCAGTGCTGGGAGCCCCAGGGAGGGCAGGTCCAGAGAGCAGGAGGCACCAAATCCCCTCAGCCTCCCAACTGCTGTGTCTCCTTAGTCAGCAGAGGCATCATTCCCTCTCTGCTCTTTCCTTCTTCAGCAGGAGACTGAGCCCTGCCATGGGTTGGACAGATGTTAATGCAAAATGCACCACTTAGAACTCATGAGACCTACCTGCTTGATTTCAAATCATCCAAATCAAATGTTAGAAAAGGCAACTATTTTTCCCATGCAGATTTTTAAAAAGATTATTTCTCTCTCCAACTGCCTGGGGTTCCACCCACCCACTTTTTTTCCCCTCTCCCTCTCTTCTTTTCCTTCCATTCTCTTTCCCCCATCTTTTAAATTCCTTTGGGAAGCAGCAGCCATCCCGATCCAGCCCAGGTGAGTCAGGGCAGGACTCTCAGAGCAGGGAAGGAGCAGCTGGGGGAGCCCTCCCTCAGTTCAGTGACCGCTGATGAATCACTGCAGTGCAGAGTTACTGTCATGATGAATTGCCATGAGCCTTAATTAGCAAATTGGTTAATTTTACTTAGAAAGTTGATGATTAGCTCAACAATAAGTGCTTTGTGTGTCCTTTGTGAGAGTCATTCAATATCACTCTTCCTTGGATAACTAATTGGGGAAGGCTGTTCCACAGAGCTCCTGCTAGCTCGCCTCAATCAGCCTCTTCAACATTTCTGCAGAGGCACTGCTGCGTCACCTGGGTGCTGTAATCTCATTAGGGGATGGGACTAATCACAGGAGACTTCCAAAAACCTGGAAGGGACAAGGAGCAAGTCATTAAGGAACCTCTACCTGTTTAATTCATCAGTGCTCTGCACAGCTGCATGCTATTCTAGCATGCCCTAAATGCCTTGCTGCTTGCTTTGAAGTTGGTTAATCTGGTTTGGCTTTATCTTATCTTTTTTAGGAGGTAGTTTGAGAATTAAAAGCTTGTGACTGACAGTGTTCTTCTTTCTGCTCTCCTGAGCTTTATGCTAAACCTTTATAGCTGTAATTGTCTCAGAAGAGTGGAGCTTGCCTCAGGTGTAGCTTCCATCTCCTGGTGCCCTCACTGCCTGCAGCGTTAAAGCTCTGCCTTTGCAGCACGTAGAAGAGCAACTGAGAGCTGGACCATGTTCCAAGTTAAAAATCAATATGTTATGCACAAGATGTCTCCAAATTCAGCACTTTGTAATTAGTCCAGGAGTCAGCACCCCTCTGTCAACAGCAGGATCCAAGTCTTGTTGTGGAGGTTGTTCCTTCTGTGTGGTTTAGCCTTGTTTTGGTCCCTGTGCCTTGATTCCCATCATGGCAGGGACGTACACAGAGTGAGATGCTGAGGGGAACTTGGAGAGGGTCAGAGAGAGCACCAGGTGAGCTTCAGTCAAGTCATTGGGAGCAAAGGATCTGCACAGAGCTGGAAAAGCTCTCGAGAAATGCCTGCAGCCCAAAAGAAAACTTGGAGATGCTGGAGTGCCTTTGGTCTGACAAGTGTGACCATCACCTTCATACTTACCTGTCCCGTAATACTCCATTCCAGACCTCATCAATGCCTGGCAGTATCAGCAGATACTGGATTGATTGCTGGGGAAGGAAAGAAGTTGCCATGACTACTCACCGAGTGAGTAATTTGACTTTTAATTGTGTATTATTTACCATTATTATCGGGTTGTGGTGGTGTAAACGTGAACAGAATCAGGTCCATTAGAGCTGATACCTGGGTCTAACTTTACCTGTGTAAATCAGGGGTAACCCTCTGCAGAAGTGAGGTTACAATGGCTGGGAGCTGAGCCAGAATCCAGGATCCAGTGTCATTTCCCAGGTTTGCTGGGTGATGGGAAGGGCTGTAACTTCCCATTTACCCCCTAGTGCTGTGTGCCCCTCCCTGGATCAGGTGATGCAGCCCCAGTCACACAATGGTAAGGCTGCCTCTTTGCCCTGCTTAAACTGGGCCTCTCTTACTCTATGAGAAGGGCAGTCATGGGGCAATTTGATACTCTTTGCAAACATTAGGGGACTCTGAGCATTTGTGTGCTATGCCTGCCATACTCACTGGAGGAGAGCAGGGTGTGTTGGCCTTTGGATCAGGGAAGAAAATCACTTCTGTCAGTCGGGAAAGGAGTAAACTGGCCAGAAAAGAGCCTTTTTTTTTTTTCCTGGCTTCTACAGCTCTATTATGTGCAATGGAGACACTAGCTGCCCCCATGTCAGAGAATTGCTGAGAACCAGACCCAGAGAGGATTGCCAAATTTTCCACTGAATGCCAGAGGAAGAGGCACTGTAAGTAGAAGTCATCTGTCTCAACTGAAAGGCTGAATGGTGGCTTGAAAACTGTACAGTTAACTTCATTTAATTTTCCTATCTGTGTCAGGCAACAAACTGATTAAAGGAAAGCATTCTGTGTGTTGTTTGCATAGAAATCCACTCATCCTGGCCCAGCCTCATGTGGGGCAGGGCACAGCAGTCTATTTTTTATTTTTCATCCTGTGTTGTATTTAAAATGTGGCCAGAAAAGGGAGGGGGGGAATGGGATGAGGAAGGTTTTAAACATTGGCTGCCACCTTAATTGCAGCCTAGCAATGAATGGCTGCAGGCTTTCTTGGACAGCTCCTGTGTGAATGTCACACACAAATCCAGCTGACACCTGGGGTCAGAAGTATTCTTCTGTGCTTTTTGTTAAGTCATCTTTCCCATTCTTGTGCCAAAGGGTCTGGCTAAATTGAATTGCATTTAAATGAGGTGAGTGTGTGATGGATCATGCGAGGGCTCCTGTTTCCCTCCAAGTTTTGTGGCAAATCTCTCTAATGCAAACACCGTGTCTCATACCTTGAACTCACTGCTGCAATTAAATACTGATCCTTTAAGCCTTATCTGGAAAAACAATATAGTAATAGCAGTCCTGTGTGTTTGCACAGAAAAGGAGAGGTGTGCACGCAGCAGATGCTGGCAGACCTCTGCTAATTCACTTTGCAGGGGTCACGGTCACATTGGAGACACCAGCAGTGACATTAGCATGTCCAGACCTTCAGTGCAAACTCTCCAGGAATTAGAGCATGTTCTGTGATGCCTTCACTGCTGTGTCAGCTGAACTGTGACACCACCACAGTTTCGATCAGCTTATTGTACAACTAAATGCAAATACAATGAGTCAAAGAAGGGTGCTGACCAATGACTGAATTCCCCCTAAAACTGAGTTTTGGCTGAGTGATCAGCAAGATAGAATGACTGACACTGGAATGAGTCTGCAGGGCACACAGCTCGGTGATTAGTCAGTTCTCATTACCTCTTCCTCCAATTAACGTCAGCAAATCAGTGCTCCTGAATCAACGAGGACCTCGGGAGAAACGAAGCTTCCCCAAAACGCTGCCAGATGTCAGCAGAAGCTCCGATCCCCTCTCCTTGATGGTTCTGTACTTTTAACACACATAATTAACTGTTAACACCGTCCTGTTTCTGTCACTCCAGCCCTTCACCCGTGCTCTGCTGATGAATGCTGTTGGTTTAGCTGTGATGGAGGAGTCTGTGCCCAGCTCTGCTGCCTCCTGCTCCTGCACTTCATCTCATTTCCATGCTCATCCCAGCCAAGCAGGAGCCCAGCCTGAGATCCCTTTTGTTACAGCTTCATCACTCCATTTGGCTCTTCCTCCCTCCTCCTTGCTGTCTTTGCAGTTTCCCTCCAACAGCATTTGGCTTTTATGGTCAGCCTCTGGAAGTGCAATATGAGTGAATTTTCCCCATTCTTTCCATGATACTGTAGGGAATATTTTTTATATATTTTTGGTATCTGCAGGCTGTGGAAGAAGCTCACTTGTCACAGTGCCCTTCATTACAAAGGTGTTATTTTTTTCCTCTTTTTTTTTTTTCCTGTGACTTGTCAAGAATAATTAAATGCTGTGATTTCTTTGGCCTCCCTTCAATGGGCATTTACCCAACTCATAAATACAAGAGTAGCTCCCCTGAAATCTGTTTCCACTCAGGTAGAGTTGTGAAGGTTTGCTCAGTGATGCTCTGAGGAAAATGAAGAACCCGGATGGGCTAGAGTTTGGGAGTTAGTTGTTCTCTAAAACCCAAACAGTGTTGCTCAGATCAATTAATATTTGCTTATTAACCTTAAAAATACATTCATCCCTAGGTATTTTCACAGTCCTCTTTGCTCCCAAATTGGCAAGGGCAGTGCTGCTGTCCAAAATAAATGAAGTGTGTGAAGACAGACAGTTTAAAGGCATTGAGGAATTTCAGACCTTTTACATCTCACTCAGCTTTCACCTAATTTGTTAATGGGTATGTTTTTCCCTGTGGGAAAATAAAGCTTTTCTCTCTGACATTTTATAAAGGACTTACTAAACCTTCTTTTGTCCCTCTGGGTAAAATCAGTTGAATTGGCTTTTCTGGTGCCTTTCTGTTTTCCCTAGAGAATCTGAGTTGGTTCTTAACCCTTTCTGTCCCCCAGGCCTTATGAACAGTATGACAGAAACCCTTAAAAGTCTAGGCACAATGTGGGCAGCTGTAGGTTCACTAGGGAGAGGCTTATTACTAGGTAAAAAATTAGATATAGAGGTGAAGAGAAGAATATTTGCTCATTTTAGGTGTGAGCTAAAATAGAAGCTTGCAGAGGGATGCATGGTGAGTTTGCAACATTGCTGGGAATTTCTGGATCTCCTGTGGCACCAGAGAACAGGATGTGTCCTCAGACCTAAGGGTTTGTGAACATTTCCAAGTCTCCAGCCACCCTTGGGACACAGGTGTGTGTCACCACCAGGGATGGCAAACTGGGGACATTGTGACACTCGTTGCTCCGGGCAGGTGGACACATCCCCTGTGAAACCTCAGACAAAATACTCCCATTTTAACCTACTCTCTGGTGGCAAGAGCAGCTGGGATGGCTCCTGTGCTCTCTGATTTATCCAGACAGGCTAGCAGGGTGTTTGCTGCATGCTTCCTTGGAAGTTTGTCACAGGCTGACACTCACTGTTCCCGTGATGCCTCGCAGAGCTCAATCAATGCCCTTCCCTGGCTGCAGAGAAGAACATGCTGAGCCAGCCTTGCAAGCTGCTCCAGCCCTGGGACACCTGATCCTCAGGCTGAAAGAGCCCTTGGAGCACAAGGTCTGTCTGATTCTCCATTTCTTTTTTTTCTCCCCATCTCTCACTTCATATTCTGTTTGCTGTCCATCCTGCTACGTTTCAGGTGCTGAGGAGGGACACGTTGTGTTGGTGTTGCAAAGGTTTTTCTTTGCAAAGGAAAACATCTTCATTCCACAGGTATTGATGAAGAAGAGTATTAATTTAAAACCTGCTCTAGATTAATGTAGAACAGCATAAATAATGAGCAGGTGCTGTGAATGATGAATGGGAGAAAATTATTTGGACTGTTACTGTTCCACTACACAGGGAGTGTTTTACAGGGGACAAGGTGTTTTCTGTGTCATTTCTGCATTTGCTTCACTTAACAATAACCATTAACTGTCAACTCTTAAAAAATCATCTTCTGCTAGGATGCCATCAAGAAAGAAGAAGACAATTTGGAACTTGCTTTGAAATATCTTTCTCATAGGAATTCAAAGCATGGTTATTATTGTGCTGCTTGGCAAGCTGCTTTTCTGTCAGCTTCCCTGTGATCCCTTTAGCTCTATCTGATACCAAAGGCTTGAGATCTCCAGATTAGAAATTAAATTCCACCTCTGTGGCCCAGACCTGATGACCTACTGGAGTCACAGCAAATAGGTTTTCCTTTACAGTGAGTGCTTCCAGCTAAAGCTGTTGCTTTTTGGTCAAAAACTTTTTTGGGAAAAAAATATAATTAAAGCCATGTGATGAGGGTGTAGGAATACTAATTGACTTGAAACTGAGTAGGGATTATTCAGAGTGATGGCAGGCCCTGATCTTGCAGGGATTTAGGTGCTTGCTTTGTTCTGCTGGCATGTGAGTACACAGGATGGTCCTGTCCTGGGGGATTTAGGGGAGGCTGTGGCATGGCCAGGAGCTGAGCAGTTGGGACAGCTGGGTGGGATGCAGCACTTAAAGCATCAGGCAGCAATTCCTGCTGCTGAGTTGGGTGTAAACCCCAGCATTTCAGGGGTGGCCAGGTCTGGTTTGGGTGTCTGCTGCAGGAACAGCAGCCTGGGGAGGGCAGGAGAGGGATTTTCCCATTGTGATTTCTGCTTTACTTTGCAAATGTAGAAACTGGGAGTGACTGGTGTCAGGCCTTTGCTGGGAGGTGGGGGTTGAAGAGCCTTAAGGGAAACTGGCAGAAATCATGATTTAAGTGGGATCACTCTGAAGATGTCAGTCACTGAGATGGGCACTCAGCTCTCTGGGTGTCTCTAATTGTGCTGCTCATATTTTGAATGTGATAAAATTGAACAGTACAGTTTTAAACCAGATTTTTGGCTTTCAAGTGCTATGTTAAAATTATGAAATCCAGAAATGGAAGGTGAATGTAATTTATAATTTTTTTTCCAGTGAGTTCTGAAAACAGTTTTGAACAATTCACTTAATTAGCTGGATTTCCAGCAGTACAAAATGTGACCATCTCAATTTAATTAACAGCATATCTACATTGTGGTAGTGTGGGGATTATGTGGAGGCTGGTAGTAGCCCGATGGATTTTCATCCTGCTCACATACAATGTCATGGTTTAGATTGTTGTTTTTTTATTATGAGCTTTAATTCTTCTTGCAAGAATTTCCAGTGTCATTTCTGCTGACAGATGCTGCTTAGGACAGATTTATTTTTATTCCCTTACAGATGAATTGGATCAAACATCTCTTTCCATATAGCTCAAGTTCCCACAATGGAGTTACTCCTAGCTGACTACTCCGGGAAGAAAATTGTAGTCATTTTTGTGGCCTTCTTTAGTAACAATTGAAATGGGTTTTTTTTTTGCATGTGTGCATATAATCTATTAACTTCCACTTCCTGTCAATTGCAGGGATTCATGATTATAAATAGTATAAAAAATTAATGCAAATAGAGAGAGAGAAAATCCAGCATTTGGTCTTTTTTTTTTCCTAGCTGGATTCAGTGAGGTGTTGAAACATGCAGGGCGTTTGTTTCAGGCTTTGATAAGGATCTCTCACATTCTTATATAAAATGCTAAATTAACAATAATCAGCCCCCATGACTTACAGCCCTGCTCAGTGCATAGCTTGCCTTTCTCTCGGGCTTCCTGTGAACCCACAGATCTGAGGGCTTTTTCCCTCTGATCTGAGAAAGCAAAATTCCTGACAAAACTAATGACTTGGGGCTCCTGCAGAATTTTAAAATCTTTTCTTTTCCCCATGAGTGGCTGCCTAATGTGAGTGGGATTTCAGGGGCTTTTTTGAAATTTGCATTATTTCCTCCCTGCAGTCAGGACATTCAGCACCATTTGCCTGCCTGGCTGCTTGGCACAGCGGTGGCTCTCCGGTGAGGTTTTCCACCAGGTTTCCCAATCCACACAACTGAGATAGTTTGTTTTGGGTAATGGTATCTGACATGGGATTTTAAAGCATTTTCAGGTCCTTCATGCTGTGATGTTGTGGCAAATCTATAAGATGTGAAGGACCAGAGCTTCTGAGGAATGTTCTCAGCTGAAATCCTTCAGAGTGAACAGTGACCGCCCAGCAAGGAAATCAACCCTGAATCCTGGAAGGAGGAAGAGGAGAAAGTTCTGAATCATAGGATCAGAGAATATTCTGAGTTGCAAGGGACACACAAGGATCGTGAGTGTGACTGCTGGCCCTGCACAGACACCCAACAATCCCACCCTGGGCATCCCTTGCAGTGCTGTCCAAGCACTCCTGGAGCTCTGGCAGCCTTGGGGCTGTGCCCATTCCCTGGGGAGCCTGGGCAGTGCCCAGCACCCTCAGGGGAAGAACCTTTTCCTGATATCCAACCTAAACCTCTGTTGGCATGGCTGGAGCCGTTCCCTCAGGTCCTGTCACTGTCACAGAGCGCAGAGATCGCTGTCTGTCCCTTCTGCATCTGTAGCAGCTGGATTTGCACCCTCTGCTCTTCCATTGCAGCTGCACTCCTGGCAGGAGGGGCAGCTCTGTCCCTCCAATGCCCTTCCCAGGCTCGTGTCCCCAGTCTTTATCTGTTGGCAGGACCCTCACCCACTGTGAGACAGCAAATCCCATTCCTGGGAAGCTGTGGTTTGCTTCTGATCCCAGCTGGAAAACTCTACTGTGGACAAAAGCAATTAAACATCTGCACAATCTGCTGCTGCCGAGCCCTGCCACCAGTCCGGGAATGGTTAATATTTGGAAGGTTTGGCCTTAAATTTTCACCTTGGAAGCGCAGGGTGGGGATGCTGCCTTTGGCTGGATCATGTGCTGCTCTCAGCAGCGGAGTGACCGGCCGGGATGTGCTGAGCCAGGGAAGCTCCGGGATGAAGCAGCAAAACGCAGCCTGGCCAGCTGATGGCCGGTCACACATTCCAAGTGTCCAGCCGCCTCCACAACCCCGTGGCCGCCCCTCCGGGCCCGCTCCACCTCCCAGGCAAAGGCACAGCTCCCGTCAGTCAGCATCCTCCTCATGCCGCTGCCTTTGTTTGCTCCGGAGAGTTTGGGAATGCGGCGGGATTGCAGATGAGTGCCACGCATGGCTGGCCAGGAGGGGAATGCTGAGCTCACCCCGCAGCTCCCTGCGAATCCTTCTTTGATGCCGAGTGCTGCGGAGAGGGTGACTTCTCAAAGATGCTCTGGGACAAATAAACAAATGGCTTGCTCTGAGCAACAGGGCCTGGG